CAGCGATCTGGCTGTCGCCGCTGATTGTCACAGTCCATTGTCTTTTTTTCCTTCTCTTTTTTTAACCACATGTTTCTAAACAGCCCTCTCCCCAGACTGAAATTTCTTGCGGGACAATTAAGAGCATCAATATTCAAGACAGTTATTTTTACTTTCCTTTATCTTTTCTGTTGAATGTCACCCAGCATCATTGACAATCCAGGGTTTTTAAAAATTGTTCATCTCAAACGTTCTTCAGAAACATGAAACATTAAAGCATGATGACGTTGATGCATGGAAAAAAACTGGTTAGATGGACAAACGTATAGACAACCAGATCTATCTCTCAGACAAGATGATAGAGGATAAGTCCTGCAACTATTAAAATATTATAAATTGTCGCTTTCTCTTTCTTGACGTATCCAGACCAAGTAACCAAATCTAATTGCCCAGACTGTGCAGGGACCCTTACCTAATAATCTTCCTACAGCTCTCAATGTGAGCTGGGACTTCAAACGAAGATGAATTTTGCAGCATAGCCTCACCTAAGACCCGCCCACCCCTAGTGTAAGCTAAGGCCTTCTTAGCCAATACCTAAAAACACCTGCTGTAACACCTTTTTAGCAGCATTTGGATCAGCTGCCTCTGCAACACTAACCCTGTCCGACCAAGCTGAAATCCCCCGAAACCTTTAAGCTAACTGAATCTAGAATGAATGATTTACTGGCCACCAAGCCATTTGTGAGGAAAGATGAAACATTATCTTAAACTTGAGCGCTCCATATCATCCAGCAGCTCAGAGGAGTTGTTAAACACTAAGGCTACGTTCACACTGCAGGCCTTGATTCTCAATTCCCATTTTTTTGGCGTAATACGATTTTTTTGCATTGCTGTTCACATTTCCAAATATATGCAACTTGAATGTGACACATGCGCAGTAGAGCAGGACATGGATGGTAGTGCCGAAGCACATCTATCGATCTTTCCCAACCATAAAAACACAATCTTTTCAAGATGGTTAAACATAAATACTGCTCTCTACATCATTGTCCGCCATGGTTGTTGTTTTTCTTGTTGCTTCTTCAAAGCAAGACGCAGAATAGTGACCTTTGTCAGGTATGAATGCCGTTCAGGTCGGATGAATGTGACACAGGTCGCATTTGAAATGATCAGATTCGTGTCGGATTCAGGACCACATAACCAAGTGGCCTGGGTCGCATTGGAAAAACTCGGATCTGTGTTGTTCAGGCTGCCATGGAAAGATCAGATACAGGTCACAAATGGGCAAAAAAAAAAAGTCTGATTTGGGTCACTTCAGGCTGCAGTGTGAACGTAGCCCAAGTGGCCTCTGGATACTTGCAGAGAGTTTTAACGGAAAAACTATCCAGGTAACAACAAAGCCTCATTACCATCCTTCCTTTCCCCATCAAAACAACAGAAGATAATTAAGCTTATGATACAGGCGACGACATACTGAGTCTGCCGGATATCGCTGGCAGCTTTCACAGGTTATAAATATGTGCAATTGTCCTTGTAAAGCTGTTAGTCTTTTTCTGTTTTCTACCGTGAGGCTGTCTGAGTGGCTCAATGTCAGACTTTCCCTGCTCTGCTTAATGACGCCGACCATGAACTGGCCAGACTGGCCACAGTGATGGTTTGATGTTGGCTGCCCTGTTGGGAAACTTGACGATACTCCGTCTGCTGTTAAGGTGGATTAGAAATGTCGCCAGTCAGGTTTGCTTGAGGAGCAGACACAGAGTTCAGGGGAAATATGTGTGGCGCTTGGGGGCGGGGGGGAGCCTACCATTGTTCTCAGTATAAACTGTTTTAACACAAGTAAGCATAATGTTCAGGAAGCTTAGTGAATGTTTCCGGTTTTTGAAAAGGGTGGTGCTGGGAAACACAAAAGGAGAACCTGAAACAACAATCAGCAGTTTATTTTCCCCACCTGTGCTCTACAGCTGGCACTTCCTCTGGGGGCCAAAAATATAACAGCAAACTCTGCTTCCAAACTGATAAGTGACTCATTTAACCAGTGGCTGCACTGGTCTAACAGGTCAGTGTGTGCGTATTCCTTCAATATTTTAGCTAGAAAAACATTTAACATTGAAGCAGGGAGCCAGGACCCTGGTACAGTAGTGTTACAGGGTAGAAAGATGGCGGATATTCTAAAGGTCTGAACCAGAAACCTGTACAAGAATTTATACTTGAACTCCATCATGGAGCAGTAATGTATAGAGAGGTGGTGTGACCAGGAGAGAATTAGGGGTTTAAAAGTGCTAAAATGTCAAGAAAAAATAAAAAATAAACAATAAAATACAAAGTAAATTAAGACTTGGGGCCTCACATCCCTGTTAAAGTGGTTGGAAACTAAGAAAAACATCCCGACCAATGACAGCACCGGAATATAAACAAGCGGGTCAAATTAAAAAATACCCTTTTTTTGTATTGAAAGAGTGAGGCTAACTTCAGGAGCAGTTAGGTGAAACAAAGTCAGAAACGAATGGGACATTTTAAGGGAAACCATATTTTCTCTCAGGGTCAAGCAAGGCTAAATGTCAGGAGAAAAAAAAAACAAGGAAAGCTAAAACATATAACAACAAAGTTACTCTTTTATTT